CACACTATCGCATTTAAGAAAAATTTTGATTAAAAGAGTAAGACAATCAACTTTAGATAAATTTCTTGTTCCTTACGGAAAGAGTTTGTTTTTTTGTTAAATTATGGCAACGCAACACTTGGGTGATCTGACTAGAGTGAATGCCTTCTGGGAGGTGTTTTTAAGGGAAACTGGGCCTATTTAGGCGTTACAGACGTGGAGAAATCCCGGAAAACTCGTGGCCAGCCCATCTGAGCGAGGTGCGAACTCACGAACGAACTCCTCGTGTTCAAGGTACGAAGACCACTTAGCCACTGGTGGGTTTCGACTTCGACTCGAAGAATCTTCCGATGAAGTGCTACCCGTTATTTTTTTGGAGGGATTTCCCTTCTAAGCATAAAGGTTCGTATATGTCCACTTTTTTGCCATCAACTACCAAAAATTAAGGTATTATTAAACAAAGTTTACATGTTTGTTGCTGTAATGATAGATACTACGTTTTCCTACATTTTCATCAAAGAAAATTAATATATATTTCAAATAAAATGACAAAAATTTCGGAGACTAGAACGGATTAATTACATTTGCATTAATTTCTATGGGAAAAATTGCTTCGGTTAACGAACGGAGTCGAGGAACGGATTAAGTTCGTTAACCGGGGTTCCACTGTATTTTTAAGTCTACATGATAACTAAATTGCTGATAATTAGCTAATGAGGTTTAGTGATATGTTATTACAACTGGACAAAAATCTAACTTTTATAGTAAAGACAATGCCAACATTCCCCTTTTGGGAATATAAATAAACTTTTAAAACTTCTCAGTGCATAGTAATGTTATACTGTATATATTTTCTATATATGTGTACTTTATTGATTATAAATCATCAGAATAATTTCATGAAATAGAAATATTTATNGTTATTTATTTTTATTTATATGTATATTTTGCAATTTATTGTTTATTTTTATTATTTATATGTATCGGTTTTTTGATATTTTTGAATTTTGAACTTATTGTTCTATTTATGATATGTTCTATTTAGCCTGATGAGTAGATCGAAAACGTTCGTTTTAATAAAAATCCGACAGCGAATAATAAGATATTGGTTGCGTATTTTTTTATTTTTTTGCTGGGTACGATAGTGTTCGATTTCAGCAATTAATAAATTCAATATTTATAATTTGTTAATATAAATTATGAAAATATTATCTGACATCCCTAACACTCATCTTATTTCAAATTGATTTTACTTATTTTTTGTCATTCTACCGTTAATTATTTTTACCAAACAATGAAAATAAACAGCGAGTGAGAGTTGAAAAAATATTTTTACATCAACGAACAAATCAACAACCAAACGAACAATATTTCTCACAGTGTGTTTAATGTGTTGTTTTCTGATGAAATTAGTCATCCCCAAGCATCATCTTCATAATACACATATAAATTTTCGATATTTTCATTTTGTCAGTGTTATTGGTATTAACTAATAATACAAAAGGATTATATTAATGGTGTAAAAAAACTTATGCTGTTATAACTTTTTTAGTTAAAATCTATTGATTAAAAACAGTAGAAATTTAACGTATGTTTAACAATAAACGACACTTTTCTGTGCAAAGTATTTTGTAGAGTACTTCAAGATATAAACACGAAAACAATGAAAAACAAACACGTAACTAGCAACGATTAAACTGTTTAAAAACATTTAACATAAATAGACATTAAGTTTTATATTTCTTATCAAAACGAAAACATTTTAAAAAACTTATTTCGTCTTTGCTGTTTTATAATCATTTTTTTAAACAATAAATATTAAATTTACATAGAAATTTACATTATTATTAATTTAACTTACCTGAGGGTCCATCTAAATAACCAATATATTAATGTATCAGTTAGTATTTTAAAAGTTAAATTTACAGTTTATATGTTTGTGGTATAATTTACACTTAATTTTAATAATTTATCAACATTACACAATAAACATAAAAACAATTCATTGATAAAGTGAAAAATAACTAGTATTAACCCTCGTGCATTTTATCAGAAGTTTTCCGGCTTAAATTTGTTTATTAAGAACAGAAAACATTTACTGTATGTTATATTATAAACTGCAATTTTGTGTGAAAAATACTTTGAACAGTATGCAAAGAAAGAAATACGAAAAGATGGAAAGCAAACGTGTAAATAATTACAAATATAGTGTTTAAAGACAATTAACGAAAATAGATGTTAAGCTTTTCATTTTTTATCAAGACAGAAACGTTTTTTTGAATGTACATAGTGTTTTGAGTTTTATAATTATNAGTATTTTACGAACTGTTTTTTAATGTTTCATCCTGAAGAGGGCCTCTAAAAGACGGCCGAAAACGTTAGAATATTAAAATCTTTTGACTGCTGGAAGTAGTATTGAGGTGTTAAGTGTTGTGTGTATTTTACTCTTACTGGGTAGGAGAGCTTTAACTAAAGTTTTTTAAAATGTACTGTATATCTATGTAAGGGGTTAATGATAACAAAAACACTTTTTATGTAACTATCATTTATTTCCATAAATGGAGGGATTACTGTTACTGTCTTTTTATTTAATTCTTCCCAACTACAAATAACACAATTTAACATTTTGTACATTTGTATAGAGAGTAGCAAAATAACCTTAAATAAATTCTAATCTGAAATTTTTAAAATTTATTGTGAGAGATCGAACTTGAAAAGGGGAAAAACCCACAATTTTATTTGGGAATTTTTTGAAAGAAATTTCATTTTTCGTTTTGAAAAGGAAATTTATTTAAATCTAAAAGAAAAATAACTTTTTCCATTTTATTACCGGAGGATGAGTGCATTTCTCTTCCCAGAGTCGTTTCCTTTCCCTGGGAACTCAGAATGTGTCACTGGGAACTACATCTAAAAATTCACTATTGGTGGAAAACAACAACTTGACTTGCAAATAAAGAGGAGACCTCAAGGAACAGTGAGAGGATCGAGAGTCTGCGAGAATATTCCATGCGTGCCAGCCGAAAGGATTTATCATCATCGCTCGTTGCTGCACGCTCCTCATGAATATCCTGTGTTTCTCCAGGAACACCTATGAAGAACTAACTGATCTCAACTTTCAATAGACTTTAACTGCCATCCAAAGCAACAGAGACATCCCCAAGGCTCCCCAACAACTCCACAGCCATCTGGAAATCCGTACAGTGCTTCAGGTATTTATAACGACCCGCGATGTTATGTAAGCTCTCTCTCCAACTCGGTTCGTGCGAAGAAGCTTTAAGGTAAATACCCTTTTGTAGAACTAGTTTAATAAATGAATGTTGTTACTGTTAGAATTGTGCTGGGTGCACTTCCTCAAGCGGTCTCCATCCTGAGTCCAACCACCCACAGATGCGACTGCTTGCGCGTAAATGCAAATGTAACGGTCTCTGGGTCTATCCAGAAGACACAGTGGTGTCAGTCCTGATAAATTTGTCATTGCAGTCTTCACCAATGCAATGTCAACCCTTCGGTCCTGTGGTGCCGAAGCATAGAGGGAGCCCTTCGGCATTGTCACATTATTTTATATCCCTTATTAAAATATTTAAAAATTCTTAAAATGTCAGCATTGAAAATAAAAGTGTAAAAAACAGTATCTTCAGAAAGTTTTACAAATCAAATTTTATATATAGTTTATGTTCCTTTTTTCTGGCAAATATTACTTATTTAACCTTAACTTTCAGTTTACATTAGTTAGTTAATGATATGTAAAAATTACTACCTTGAATTCAGTATTAATCACTTTTTAAAAAAACAAAAATTTTTTTTATAAAAGTTCTAAAATTGACAATAAAATAAACATAATACTTTTGTTACAAGTTATATCAATAATATTTTCATTCATAGGTATTTTGAAAAAATGAAATATGCAAAGGATAATGGAAAATATGTAAAATCTTTCTATTATTGAATGTATCAAAAAGTATGTAAATTTTTAATATTATGACAAGTAATTATAGTAAGTGAAATTTAATAAATTCTTAACATACACTATTATAAATAGTAGATATAGCTGCCAAGAGATTTTCCAATTTTTTTAAAGGAGAATAAGCTTGTTGTAATCTTGTTAAAAAATGTCGTACTACTTCCAAAGATGCACCTTCTGGAGGTTTAAAACCAGGCTGTAAAAATTTGAAATAGAAAAGTTCATTCAATATTTATAAAATATAGAATATATTAATGAATTTTATGAAAATTAATTTCATTAAATTGAATAATAATTACTAATGTGTTTTACATTTATTAAACTGTGATAAATAAAACTTTGGCTTTGACTTGCCAAACAATCATGTAATAAACCATACAATAAATCAAATAATCAGTATGAGATAAGATATAAAAAAAANAATTCACGTGTCTTATCTTTTCTTGAGTATTACAATTAACTTTTCATTACAATGTTCACATTTGATCCAACTAAAGTTTATTGATCTCTTTTCAATACTGTCGTGAATGTGATATTATTGTATATATTGCACTAACACAAATTATGCGAGACTAGAGATAAACACTATCGTTAATCTGGCATGTTTCTGTGCAGAAAAGACAAGGTAAAGACATTTTATTTTATTATTCGGAAAATGTGTAATGATGTATTGGTCAGAACTACAGTTTAAGTCGCGGTGTGACCACTGACTAGATCACATGGATCCACTGTTTCGTTGACAAGCAGAAATGATAATGAAAATTTTGTAATTGTATCAACTTCCCGATTTTTGAATTTTTATGAATAAATTAAAACTGTAAACTGTAGCTTCCCACTGTTTCCGCGATAATGACTATCTGTGTGTCGCACTTGTAGCTCACGTTAAAGTACAGCTCTGATAAAAGACCCTTATAATTAAAAGAGATTAAAAATAAAATTTTAAAACTGAGTTATAAAGAATTTTGTTCTTCAGTGTTAAAAACCATATTTTTTATAATTATTTTATTTAAAAATTAATATTAAATCCACATAGAAATAAACTCTTATTATTATATTAACTTACCTGGCTAGTAAACTAGATAATCAATAAAAAATATGTCAGTTATATTTTGAAAGTTTAATTTGAATGTAGTATTCTCTAATATAATTAACATTTAATTTAATTTTAATATATAAACATTTAAATTTATAAACATTTTTAAATACCTTGAACTAATCTGATTTAAATCTATTTAATTACATATTTTATCGACAATTAATTAAGTAATGCTAAAATTTAAATAAGCTTTTTAAACACACAACTTATTACGATTACAGTATACTGTTTAACACCATTTAGAGCCTGTACACACTAGGCGTTTTTAAACGCGCGTTTAACGCGCGTTTTAAAGAACCAAGAGTTCTATGTAGGCGTACACGCTTAAACGCCAAGCGCGCGTTAAACACGTGTTAAACGCGCGTTGAAAAACGCTTAGTGTGTACAGGCTCTTAACGAAAATAGATTCTAAATTCTTCATTTCTTATCAAGAAAAAAAAAACACTTCTACACACGGATTTAGCATTTACAGAATTTATAAATTTTTTTTATAAAACTATTTTCAAATTTACATAAAAATCAACTTACATCTATATATATATATAGGGGAGATCGGGGCAACTTCGGCATGCGGGGCAAGTTTGTCAAGCGCTTTTTTTTTAAAAACAAATTAAAAGGAGACTTTGGTTATAGGTTAGGCAGTTGAGTTTTATTGGTGGCTTGATGAGTGTAGTGTTTTTATTGTTCTCCAACAAGCGTAGTTGAATTATCAAGCAAATTTTCATTTTCGTTGAATTCCATATAATATTTTTTTTTCCATTTATATTGAATTGGCAGGTTTTGTTATAATTCCATGATAACGAAAGTTACTTTTCCTGTTAGAAGGATGTAACTTCAACTTATTCACGTGGCCAGATCGTGGCTTGGCATTCTGTTCTCAGGGTTGTACTTAATGTTTCGAAATCATGACTAGCGGGGTAAGATCGGCAACATAAAGCCACATTAGAAGCAAAGGATAAAAATCAAACAGATGATAAATGAAAACATGTTTGCATTTGTTATTCATGTATATATGTCTTTGAACTTGCATTTCGTTGTAATAATATTAAATGGGTGTTGGATTTGTATTTCTTTGTTTTAATAGTGAATTCCAACTTATACATTGTTAATAACATAATTTTATATACGTGCCTATCTTGCCCCATTACTGTTGCCCCTATACCAGGGGCAACTTTAATAAAAATAATTAAAATAATTACAACTTTACAAAAAGAGAGAAGTTGCCGATCTTGCCCCTATACCCGGGGCAACTTCGTCAATTTCTCTCTTCTTGTAAAGTTGTAATTATTTTAATTATTTTTATTTCCAAACTGATTTTAACCAGTTCTATAGTAAGGTAACATTCCAATAGACAAAATGCAAAGCTTTTTTTTCAGTTTACAGCAGTATTTATTACACAAAATTTAAGTAAAGCTTAACATGCCGATCTTGCCCCGATCTCCCCTATATATATATATGGACGTGTTTGTGCCTATACGTCACTTTGCAGTCAAAACTACACATCGCACATAAATAGTGTTTGTGTGTGGTAGTAGCCCCAAGTCTTCCATCGTGCACTATATTGGTTTCGTCTCGATAGCTATAAGGGTGTGGGAGATATGGGGTTAATTAACTACTTGTTGTTTTGTCTAACTCGGAGGTGTGTCTGACAAAACACACCTGGTGGCAGAGCTTAACTGCGAACTTGCATAATCTAATTTTTGACGCTTCCTGACATCCACAACAGTTTAAATTGCGGTCCGACCACTGTGTAGATCATATTAATCCATTGTTTCATTGACAGCCACAAATTAAAACGACAATAATATAATCGTATCAATTTTTCGACTTTTGAATTTTTATGAATAAATTGAAAGTGTGGAAGTAGCTTTTCACTGCTTTTGCGATGACGACTCTCTGTGGTTAAGAACTTGTAGCTTTCGTAAGACTATAACCCTGATAAATGAAATTTCACACAGCATGTCATCAGAATTAATTTCTAGGTTATTCAACAATAATATAAACAGGAAAATATTTATACGCTTATATTTGTCTTATATTAGTAAAATTGAATATAATTAATGAAACTTTTCTACAGTTAAATAATCCCCTAATTCATAGATATATATTTAAACGTTTTAATATTATCACTAAGATTTTTCATAAATATTTGAATTAGTAAAACACTATGTATTCGATGTAAATACTAACTTGTGAATTATTATCTCTTACAGCAAAACTAATAAAAACTATTTAAAATTCATTAAACTCTTATTCTTTTTAGTCTGTTTTTATACCTGCTACGACTTTCCCTACTTCTGACATTTTGTTATTTTTTGTTCAACACAAAACTCTTTTTATAAGTATTTTTTACTGTATTGTTCAAAACCAGAAAATGTTTTTTTTCTCGTGTGTTTTCCATCTATATATTACATACTTAACCGTTTTTAAAACTGACTTCTTTTTTCATTAGCATAAACGCAATTACAATAATTTTACAATTCTCACTTTGCTAAATTGTTTGTTTATTCATATATTCATAATAACTACAAAAACCTTTTTGTTAATTTGAAAATATTGTACTGTATAATAATAGTGTAGTTTATACTTAGCCAATTCCAAACAACACTAATGCATCAATGAGTCCTTTGATACAATAACACTAAGTAAACGATTTTATTCTTAATTTTCATTGTGATGTCGCTATCTTTCTCATTCCTTTTATCATCTTTGAATTATGTTGTATTTCGCCACTGTTGGTTTATGTTAACAGTCATTTTTTATTTCGTGTTTCTTAAAATTAAATAATCAGAAGTATATAAATAACAGTTCTTCCCCACAAAATTTCTATATAAAAATGTAAATGGTTTACAATCAGAAAAATTTAAATATCATTCAAAATCAAGTAAAAATAGTGATTAATTAACAAACTTAACGATATGTGCTTTGTTCGCATTCCCACAATCTTTCATACCTCTGTATACAAATTTTGAATCACTCACGTTGTTTAAATTCTCTATATGCTTATCCAATTTTTTTGAATCGATCTAGCAGATAAACTTAAAATTCATACCATTCAGTGTCTCCATTAATATAGGAAAAATTATAATATATAATTTATAAATATTGAAATACTATATTTTAAAAGAAATCAACATCACATGTTTCCTCATAAGATGAATATTTATCTGTAGTTTTAACTGTAATTATATCTTTTACATTAAATGGAATAGTTTCATTTATGACTATATAAGTTTCTTCTTTTTCTTTTTTAAAAGAAAATACTAATTTATCATTGATAAATATATCTATAGGTACAACTAATAATGATATATTGCTTGCAAAATAAATCTTACTAATGAAACTATCAGATTCTAACACGTATTTTCTATCATAGTTTTTTACATCACTATCATCAATAGGAAAATCGCCTAAGGTTAAATAAAATACTGTATCTTCAGCTGGTTTAGCTAAATTCAAAAAACCTCTTTAGATAAACAAATGATTACTTGAAGCGAATAAAGCATTTTCTGTTTTCTAATTATATTGTTTGAATTTTCATCAATTTTGAAATAATTCTCTAAATATCTTTTATTCAGAACATTTTTGTCTTCCGTTTGATCATAAACATTACAAATTCTTTTGTTTTTTGCATTGAAATCATCATTATGTAATTTCAAACATTTACTATCTAATGTCTGAAGTTTTTCACTCGCTCCTCTTATGAAATTACTAACGCTTATATCTAAATCATTAATATTTTTTTGTAAATTAGTTTTATCAGATTTGTGATCTTCTTCTAATATTTTTCATTTATTAGCATTTTCTTTAGCAAAAGCTTGAAAATCATTATTTAATTCATTGATTATTTTTAATTCATTGATTATTTATGTTTTAATTTATTATCAATATATTCCTTGATTGCACCATCGTTTTCATCTATTGGATGTTTGCAATATTTTAAGATTTTATTTTGCATATCATAATTTCCATCATAAGTTAATTTGAAACCATTAACCAGAAAACCAGGACGACCTTCTTTTATTATTTGTAATTATGACCAAAAGGAAACCAAGCCATTTAATTACTTCAAAGTTTTAATGCTTTCAAAAGTCCTGTTGTACATATTCATAAATCCATTTTTTTTTTTTTACTAAAACGAAATAAAATCTATACCATTTAGCAGGTGTTTCTCTCAATTGCCAAAATAATTCAACTTTCAAATTATCAAAATTATTATTAGAGGGGTGATTGGAAACATCGAAATGAATTATAGGATACAATCTCCCATAGTTTGTATAACTTACTAAATAACCAAACTCTATGCTATTGGTATTTAATCTCGCCGCTAAAAAATGAGAATAATATTTCGAATAATCTAACTCTTTGGGTTTAAAACTAACATTATAATCCTCTGTTGGATATTTATCATTATTAATTCTTAACCAACATCTCATCATATTTAAGTTATCAAATATCATGTTATTTTCATTCCGATCGTTTTCATTTTCTTGATATTGTGGGATTATAAATATATTTCTGATTTTATCTGTGGTTATATTTTCAATTATTGTACCACTAGAACCATTCTGAACGTTACTTTAAATTAATCTAACAGAACACCAATTAATTTCTATTTAGAGGAGATATATTTATTAGGGATTTAGAGATACACTATGAAAATTAACTTGAGGTTCTGGATATAGCTTAATATGTGGTAACCAAAGTGAAATATCAGATATTATAATTTTATAATTCGGATTGATAACATTGGTATAGATCATATCATTACTCGAATTTCTCCAGAACACAAATCTAATATCGACGTTTGATATTATTTTCCTAAAGTCATTGAAAAATCCAAACATTTGTTTAATTGGTATCCACAGTTTGATCTTGTTACTGTTTTTGGTTAATATCCATCTTTCTGTAAATCCTTTGTCATAGTTTGTATTTTTCATTAATCCTTTTAGAAAAGTCTCCATTTTTTCTCCAGTTCCAAGAGATTGATCATCGGGTCCATCAAATATCAAAATTTGCTTATTCAGTGATTCTGAGGTGTCAATGAAAAACAGCATATTGGTTGCTTCAGAGGTAGAATAAACTTTTGTAAAGTTTATAAGACCGTTAATGTGATGAACCAATGAGAATAATTTCTTCAATTAATGACTTACCAATGTGTAATTCCAACTTAAGAACAAATATCCACTATTTACCAAGGTTACTTTATCGCTTTCGTTCGAAGAACCATCCTGCTTCGTAATTTTCAGTTCTGGGCAGATATAACCATTGGAATATAAAATCATATCATTTACAATTTTAGATGCTAATAACTTTTATGGATAAGCCATGAGTCAATATTTATTAAATGTAGGATTTAAATGGTATGATGTAAAAGAGATGCGCCATGACACAGAGACTGGTTACATTTTACAAGTTGATCTAGAATATCCTAAAGAATTACACGATTATTATTCTGATCTACTTTTAGCTTTAGAGAACAGATTGCTGAATGTTTCAGATCAATCTAAGTTAATAACAACACTTTATGATAAAGAAAAGTATGTAATCTATTACAGAAATCTAATACAGCGTTAAGAGAAGAAATTGAAGGTTAAAAAGGTACATACATAGAGTTTTAGAATTTAAACAATCGAAATGGTTGAAAAAATATATAGACCTGAATAAGAACAGATGCCAAAAACCATTTCGAAAAACATTTTTATAAACTGATGAATAACTCTGTATTTGGAAAGACAATGGAAAACAAAAGGAAGAGATTTGATATCAAGTTATGTTGTGATGCTAAAAAGATCGAGAAAATATTTTTGCTGAACTACATTTTCTGAAAATCTTTCAGCCATTCACATGAATAAAACGAAAATAAAATTCTATAAACCTATATATATGGAACGAGCATATTAGAACTTTCAAAGCATTTAATGTATGATTTTCATTATAATGTGATGAAACCAAAATATAGTAATAATATAAAACTGTTATATCAAGACACCTATTCTTACAGTTATGATATAAAAATTGATCATTTCTACCAGGATATGAAAGGAATGATTAATTACTTTGATACATCAGATTATAAAGAAGATATTGAATATGGTATACCTAGAGCAAACGAGAACGTTTTACGTAAAATGAAAGATGAGAATAATGGTAAGATAATGACTAAATTTGATGGATTAAGAGCACAAATGTAAGCCTTGAAAGTTGGGAATAAAGATGAAAAGAAAGTTGAAGTTATTAAGAAATGTGTTGTTAAGAATAGAATATCATTTGAGGATTACAAAAATTTGTTTGTTTAATAAAAGAGAGCAATATAGAACAATGAATCTAATTAGAAGTATAAAACATCAACTTTATTTTATGAAGGTAAACAAGTTAGCATTATCAGCGCATGGTGATAAGAGACATATATTAAAAGATGGTATTCACACATTTGCATTAAAACATAAATTTTTTTATATATAAATGGACTCTAGAATAAAGAGGGCTATCGATAGGAATAATTGTTCAAAACGAAAGAATTTAACAGAAGATCTAATAAGAGAATTGAAAGTTGAAGTTAATTAGGATTCAATATCTCATAGACAAAATTTTTTAAATTTTTTATTAATGAATTAGGGGTAGAGTGAACTGGAAAAAAATATCTGAACACCAAAGTCGCTCTGAACATTTTTATAAGACAACATGATGATAAAGTTAATTGGCAACTTATCTCTATTCATCAAACATTATCTTCGGAATTTATTCTAGAATATGCAAATAAAGTGAATTGGGATGCTATATCTCCATTTTAAAATTTAGATAATGACTTTATTAGGGAAAATGCTATAAAATTAAATTTAAATTCACTTATAAGATATCAAACCATATCGGAATAATTACTCGAAGACAGATCGATTAAATGTATTAAATATCAAGAATTATCCGAAGATTTTATTATGAAACATAAAAATAAAATTGATTGGTGTAATGTTTTTTTAAAAAGAAGGTTCTCCGACAAATTTATACAAAATAATTATAAAAATATACTTGTTTTATTGTTTGCAAAAATTTGTAATAAATTTTTTCTTATATAAATGGAGACTCTGAATAAACGAAACGATATTAGTAAACTTCAAAACACTCCAACAAAGAAATTAAACGAGTTGCAAATTGATTATGAATATCTAATTCATTATTTTAAAACAGAATCCACTCGCTTTGGTGATAAAAAATTAGTAGTTCTCATGGACACTGAATAGAATGAATTTCAAGTTTATCTACTTGATCGATTCAATAAAAAAATAATGGATAAGGAGTTAACATGAGGATTTAAAATATATATACAGAAACAAGACAGTTTGTGGGAATGCGTATAAAGCACATATCGTTGAGTTTGTTAATTAATTACTGACTTTTTATATTTACATTTTTACTGGCTTTGATTTTTATTAGTTTTCATTGAATTTTACTTTGATTTTTGATTAAATTCACTGAATTTACAAGATTTAAATTTTTGTGGGGCAGAATTAGTATAATTATGATACACTACTTATAGTAGACGTAAATAAAAATACAACATAAAATGTAACCGTAATAGTTGCAGTTTAATAGACGTTTAAAGAACATTTACATGGAAACTTTAAAAATATCAGAAAATAAATATTAACATAAATTAAAATATGAAGAGAAATGAAAAGTAGAAAGCTGAAACTCAAAGTATTAATAACGTAATGAAAACAGAAATCAGTGTCACGAAAGAGTTTATAATGTTACGGATTATTAGAAAAGATGATGTATACTAGATAATTACGACAATGACAAAGTTAAACAACTGGAAAAAACCACTTTGACAAAGAGAACTTCACAAGGATTTTATATAATGATCTCAAAAATATGTACTTATTGCAAAAAAGTTAGATAAAAAAGAAAGACGATTAATAAGCAAATACTGTCTCAATGTAATAACAAACATTGAAAGTACAGAAATAACATCAAGTAAAGCTTCCATCGCATATAAATTTTTTAACAGCCGGAAACGTAAATAGCATTCAATCATATTATAATCGTGCTACAATAATAACTTATAGTCTTTAGTGACGAATCAATTATGCTTAAGAAAAAATTAATTTGTTTCAGTAGGTCTTCCAATCGAGTGTACCGACTATTTTTCGCAAATCTATTCATTGACAGTTGTTTCAAAACTGTCAATGAAATGCCAAAAATACAAAGACAACGAATCAGAGACAATATTTGAAAAAATTTAAGCACAAGTTTAAAACGATTACAAGGAAATTCCAAATTTAATTCAGATCTGATAGCATAATTTAGTATCGATCTCTAAAGACCAAAGAAGCGACGAAAAAACAAAAAAACTCACTTGAATCAACTTTGTCTAAGCAGAAAAAATTTCGTAAAAATCCATCCGAACGCTCGACGTGAAAAAAGTGGTAGAGTATCTTATGAAAGGAGGCATATGACAATTTGTTGTCTGGTTTAAAATATCGATCTTCACTTTAGCCATAGAGAGAACTTTACCCTTTACAGAGGAAACATAATTGACAAAAGAACCTGATACTAATAAATGAATACTTAGGAAATCCACTTCGTTTACGACGCAAATATCTTTACCGTTTATGAAAAACCTATCTGTTTTTATTATCCGTACTTTTGTCTAAACACTACCATCATCGACATATTGAAATCAATCCTTAAACTCAGGAAGACGAATATTGTAATAGTAGTTCAATCTTTCTCTGAAACTTGTTCGGTGTAGTTGACAGCGATACAGTACCGTCAGCAAACAAGCTGTTAAATATCAACTATGACATCATAAACACTTGGTGACGCTACATTCAAAAACTGCCGAATTCATGACGAACGTGGACATAATGACAATTCCATAGATTTTATGATATTAAATCCAAAGCTTTCAGAACGGCTAACGGTGTTGTAATATTTGTTTCTAAAAAATACGCTAAAAGGATGTTCTCTGTTTGAGGTGTTAAATACAGTCTTAACAAAATGCCACAAATATAATCGTAATCACGCAATAGACATAAATAAAAAATACAACACAAAATCTAACCGTAATAGTTTCAGCTTAATAGACGTTTAAAACATTTACACAGAAATTTGTAAAAATATCAAAAAATAATATTAACATAAATTAAAATATGAAGAGAGATGAGAAGTAGAAACCTGAAACTCAAAGTATTAAAAATGTAATGAAAGCAGAAATCAGTGTGACGGAAAAGTTTATAATGTTACGCACTATTAGAAAAGATGAAGTATACTAGATAATTACGACAATGACAAAGTTTAACAACTGGAAAAAAACCACTTCGACAAAGAAAATTTCACAAGGATAGGAGATAATGATCTCAAAAAATGTACTTATTGCAAAAGAGAAAGATAAAAAGGAAAGACAATTGATAAGCAAATACTGTTTCAATGTAATAACAAACATCGAAAGTACAGAAATAACGTCAAGTAAAGCTTTCTTATGATACCTCGACAATATATATAAATCATGTAATCAATTTAATGTTTTTAGAAAATTGTCTTAATAAAAAATAATAAGACAAACAATATTATGAAAGTCACAATAGAAAAATATATAGTATTTTTTTTAATTTCCAAAAAATTTTAAAAAATTATACATACCCCAGAAATTAGCTAAAATATAAATTTGTAAGAAGTCATATTTTATGATAAACGTTAATATAAAAAATCTAATAAACACCTTAAATTTTTATATTATTAAACATTAGTATATTCATAAAATAATTTTTATATTTTTTAAATTATAAAAGTATCACCACAAACGACTAAATTCAATCTATAAAACACTATCGTGCGAAGACACAATTCACCGGTTCGAATAAAGTATCTCTTTTCAAAAACTTTCGTTTTCCAGACGCAGCAACGTGTGTTTATGCATACGTACGATTGTTTAGTTGCGTAGTGTTTTTGTCTCCCCTGAATTTACAAAGTGAATTTGAATGAACTTAAAAAATGTCATTAAAATCTGACAGGGAAATTAAGAATTAAAGTTATCGACGGAATATAATATCAAACGGCGATGTGAAACACAAGTTAAAATAGGTCATTATTAACCAAGACTACCCAAAAGCGAACCTTCATTGTTCACTTTTCCTTCAGCTCTATAATCAAGTATCGCTCGATTTTTTTTCTTCTTTACTCTCTCACATCAGCTTTAGCACCGATAATCCTACATAAGATTTACTATAAAACCAAAATCTCGACAAAATGTCAAAATTTTGGTTTTATAAAATTAAAAGTTTTAATGTTTATTTTTCCTGGACGCTTGTTCCTAAATTTCATCATATGGGACCTTTCAAGCTTTACTAATCGTGTTTAAATTTATCATATACATACTTTCTTACATGCATTATGTTGTACTATTAGATGTTTTAAATCGAATTCGACAGAGAGATAAGTGCTCGGTAATTACACTATACTGGAGGTTTTATCCACTGCAAATTTTAAGCTTCCTTTTTAAACTTGAAACAAAGAAAGTAGAAGTAATTATCTTTACAAATCCGTTCGATCGATGTTTATTTAGCTTTGTCATTTTCCATTGGCTACGAGGAGTCCGGAAACGTAATGTAAATCTATCTAAATGTAAAAGTAAGGGTGCAATGACTATGCATTCGACATACAGTGGTGTTAGGCTACAATGTTTGTGCTCTCTGATGCGACTGGGCAAGATAAACAAAATTTCAGTAAAAATGAAGACAACATTTCGTGTCTTATGGAAAATATGCGGGAAAAACGAACAATACACGAGAACAAAAGAATTTTATGACGATTTCTTTGTTCTTGAATCGCCTGTACGTGCTGACATGTGCATGTCTCTTCTCATTTGCGAAAATTGTAACGGACACATTGTACTGTACATGTGATTGGTCGAGTGGCCAGTGGCGCGAAGCTATTGTTCGTGGGATTATGACTAAACGCCCCTAAGGCAGAAGACCCCTAACCGCGGAAACGGAAGTCGTTGGGAGAGTAATCCTGCGCGGTAGGAGAAGAACCGCAGGGTCAGTCAATTTTTGGTTTGGTCTCTGGTTGTGAGGACGTCGAAGCGCGAGAAGCAAGAAGTACGAACATATACCCCAGAATAGATTTGAACTTTGGGGTACAGACTCATCCCTTTGAACTTGTACCTGGCTAAGATTCCCGTTAGCCTTAACAAAGATCGTATTTTTCTTTTCGGCTCCTCCTCTGTTTAATCGCCATAAGACAAATTAAAACGAAGTCCTAGTATTACAATTGAACAAAAATGATGTTTATACATATTTTAAAAAGGTACACATAACCCACTAATTTGCTAAAAAAATATTGCAATCAGTTATATTTGATAATAAATGTTAATATTAATATAATAAATCCAATAAATACTTACAATTTTTACGCCATTTAACATTAGTATATTTATTAAATATTTGTTATACATTTCAAATTATAAAATTCTAAAATTAAACGACTAAATGATAATTCGATATCACTCATAATTAAGTGCAAAAATAATATTAAAATAAAGCTTATTTTTCATTATAAAATTATTTCAAGTAAATTGTTTTTCACATCTCTCAAAATATTTATCGTGCGAACAATTAGTGCAGCACTTCGAGTAAAGTATTTTATTACCGAGAAGTAAAACTTTCCCAAATACAGTAATGTGTGTTTGTTTGTACGCACGTACGTTCGTCTAGTTGCATGGTGTTTTTGTTTCCTCTGAATTTACAAAGTGGATTTCAATACAAACTTTAAAGGTGTCATTTAAAATCTTACAGGGAAAGTGGAAATCAAAAGTTACTCCATAAGAATAAAGTATGTCAGACGACAATGCAAAACACAGGTTTTAAATTATAATTTTTCTACTTTTACATTTAAATGTAAAAACATGTTTTACACTTTCTAATTTTATTTAATTGCTGTTTTTCATATACGTTTTTCGTATTTGTTCATATGATTTTAAATTTGGAACAAATGGGAATCGGTTTACGGGACTTTTTTTGTTTTATACATAAAAATAAATTAAATAAATTATTTAGGCGTATACTTTCAAATTTTAAAATTTCACTATGATCCGCCTTTTCTAATATAAAGTGCATTTTATTCTTTAATAAGTATTTTTATCCAAGATTTCAACAACTTATGATGCATGACAAACGTAAATCATGAATCCATAAATTTTTTTTCTATTTAGAAATTTACATACAGGATTATCTTAAAAATTTAATGTTTGCAATCTCTCAAGAATTCCATTTATTTAGGATTTTAACAAGTTTTAAATTAATCATTTATAACGTGTTAATATAAATTACTAGCTGCAAGGACCTGTTTCGCTGGGCAAAAAGTAACGATAGTGAAGATTAAGATAATTACATTATAGCTAATCTTACCCGTTTTCACAAAATGCAAGAATTAGGTCCCCCGTTTCCAGACTAATTAGAGAATTTTTACGTACAGTCGAACGAACTATTTTCAACGTTTCTGGAACGTTTACAATCGTTCTATAATCGAACCAATATTCGAATTTTATGTTTTGATTTAATTCGAACAAATTCGAAAAATTCGAACAAAACATTCGAAATAGAAAGCCACTTTCAACCACTTTCAGCCTCATATCTCCCGCACCCTTAGAGCTATCGAGACGCAACCACCCCTATGCACGAATGGAGACTTGGGGCTACCACCATATACAAACACCATTCACGTGCGATGTGTAGTTTTGGCGGAAAAGTGAAATATAGGGACACACACGTCCATTTATATATATATCTATATATAAAATATTCCTTCTTCTGACTGAGTGACTGACTGAATCATCATTGCCCAGAGCAAACCGCTGTACCTAGACAGGTGAAATTTAGTACACAGTTAGCGTACGTCATGAAAACGCACACTAACAAGGGATTTTTCAAAATTCCTTCCAGGGGGAAAGGGAGAGCATTAAGGCTAAACCGGAAGAACGGCTTCTACTGTACTATTTTAGATGCGATTTTTTGCTTTTATGTGCGTTTTAGTAGGGTACGCCATGGCAACGCACACTAAGAAGGGATTTTTAGAAATTTCCCCGCAGGGGGGTAAGGAATAACATTAAGGCTTAAACGGAAAAACAGCTTCTACTGTACTATTTTAGATGCAATTTTTTGTTTTTAACTACGTTTAGTCTTCATTGAGTACTTAGGTGTATTAAATTGATAACATTTCAGACACTGTTATAAATATTTTTATCTATTTCGATTTTAAAAATGCTCGAACTGTTTTAAATTCGAATTTGTTATTGCATATTGGTTCGATTATAGAACGATTGTAAACGTTCCAGAAAATTGATCAAATTGAAAATAGTTTGTTTGATTCTCGGCAATTCTCTTCAGCGGTAGGTGTTATATGACAATTACAATGGTTATTGAAATATTGAATTGAAATGCATTGAAATGAAATCGCTTTGAAAAACCGCCGCGGGCGAAGTCGCGGGTAACAGCTAGTATATAGATATAGATAAAGATAAAAACACTATATGACATCTTTAGCAGTCTTCTTATTTTATATTCATTATATCTACTTTTATGTCAATCTATCGTCGTTATTTTTACCTACAACGAAATAAAGTCGCGTGAGAATTCAATGAATATTGTCAGATATAAACATGTCAATTAAAAGACAACTAACATTCCTCATAGTGTTTTTAATGAGTTTGATTTTATCTCAATTCGTGTATATAGTATCTGTTTTATGATACATATAAACACTCGAAATTATAATTTTCTATCTATTATTGGCATTATTTAATAACATAACAGTATGCTAAAAGTGTAACATTTTAGTTTAAAGAAAAACTTGTACTAATGTTAGCACACGATAACTTAAATTTTATAGGATAAATTTTCTTTACGTTTCATTACAATTTTCATAAATATTTGTTATTCGTATTGTAATTTAAATGCAAGCAAAACAACGAATTACTATGATTACATTAACATTACATTGTTCTGTAATGTTAAACGAGATTTCTAATCAACATGGGAACGTTAAAAAGAAAATTACGTATTGTCGTTTTTTAACATGCCACAACTAATTATTTGATTTCGCTACTATGTTTGAATAGGGTTTCACTTAAATTTATTGATAAGTTTCTAATACTTTGTGGAATATGTACTTTTATAAATATTACACTATTAAAGTAATACTATTATATTTTCTTAATTAATGCCAATAACACAGAGAAAATAATAATTTTCGATAGTTTATGTGTTTTACGATACATATGCTTGGTAGATGACTTGATAAAAAATTCAAAATCATTAAGAACACCGTGAAAAATGTTATTTGTCTTGTAATTGACTTGTTTATATATCTGACAATATTCACTGAATTCTAAAGTGCGTTTTATTTCATTGTGGGTTGATAATAAGAACGGTAGATTGATATAAATGTAAGAAAAATGAATATGAAATAAGATCAGTGTAAAGATGTTATGTAATGTTTTTATAATTTTTATTAATACGATATAATTGTTTCAAAAAACAGATAAAATATATATACTGTATATATATAAAATATATGTCAATAATATATACAGTCTGCTTAGGCGACCACCTGCATTCGACGGGCACCTGCCAAAACGGGCAAAAATTTCTGGCACGGAATAGTTTATCCATAGAGTCTTCGTATAAGTTACCCGTATTAAACGACCACCTGTGTAACGCGACCGCGGGCATTGAATTTTGGTCCGAAACAACATACAACACCTGTAATAAGCGACCCCTTTCGCGAATGTATCTGGTCTAAACTATTGTAAGAACCCATCTCAACGTTTCCACCTCGTAATATAATGAATTAGTCTAAACTCTCGTTCGAACCCATCCCGGGCACATCTCCCACCCTCGAAATTAGGTGCAGGTGTTAATAAATTAGTCTAGCAACAAAGGAAATTCATTTCAGTTTGCTGGAAAATGTCCGAAATGCAAAGTGCTGTCGTTAGAAGATCGTATTAAAGTTATCACAACAGCAATTAGCGGCGAAGTTTAACTGTGGG